TCAATTCAATGCAATGCATTTACAAGTATGTGGAACATTCAGAGGCCCAGCTTTTTCTAATTAGCAAAGCGAATTTTGACTTAGCGCTGCATAGACGTGGAGATTGTTGGAAGCAAAGTAATATTTATCTCAATATAGAAACATCGAGGAATGCTCTAATTGCAACTGAAGAAAAAGTCTACAGTTCGTAGATGGAAAATAGCATAGAAGGCAAAAACGTATATTTTGAGAGTAAGATTTAAAAAACCCCAAATAACTTCAGTAGAGGTCGCAGAAACTTCCGGAGGGGCGAGAGAAAACTAGCAAAAAGGGACGTGACTTGATGATGAATGAAGCAGCCTCCTTTTAGGCCAAAAATTTGTGAGGTTTTTTCAACTTTGATCAATTTTTGGCAAATTTATCTAGATATAAACGAATAAAACTACGTCATTTTCTTTCATTTGGTTTTGTAGTTCATTTCTTGATCCTCTCCTCCTTCCTTCCCCTCCACTCCCTCGCTTCCACCACTGTTTCCCTCTTATCCAACATAATGTTTGTCTCTTGAAATCTCACTAAGAGCAAATATAGCACCCCATAAGGTGATAAAACATTACTCGGATAAGGAAAAATCGGGAGACTTTTAAAACTTCATCAAGTAGCCTCTCTCACAGACTCCGCTGAAAGGTATTAATAAATTATTAACTGTCCTCTACCTATTCTCATTATTTCAAAACTTGTTTTGATACTTTATTTTGATATTTCAAATTTACACTTTTATCTTAAGTTTAGAAAAAAAAAACCTAGTAGGAGAACGAAATCAAACAATAACAAAGATAACAATGGCAGACATGCTAACTAGGCACAACAATACCGTATATCACTCAGTAAACATCCAGCTGAACTTAGTCTTGAATTCGTAGAGAATTCGCCTGCACTCCTCTGGCGTCTTATAGACACCTATTTTTGACCTGCAGTCGTGAGCAGGACGCTGTAGTTCTTCGTTCGCATCCGATTTCTCTTCATCTGTTCTCAGATCGAAACCCATATTCAGCCGAGCTTCGCGGATCTGAGAATAATATGCGGCAGTATGTGCAGTTGAAGATATAAAATCAACAGGATTGTCTCCACTTACCTGTTCAGTCGAATAACCCAGTGATGTTAATTTGCCTCTCAGTTTCTTTATTTTAGTTTCAATCGCATCTACAACGAAGCCATGAGCGTGAAATAAGTGTCGCTCCAGCAACATGAGTGCACGAACATAATATCCAAGTTGAAAATTTGGTCCAACCTTGGAACCGAAATATTGGCAAGACTTTTTAGAACAAAGGCATAATACCATTACCTCTAAATCATCCTTAGCTCTAAACGCAAGCCAGTGCTCAGGAAGATCTACAGTAGCGCAAAGGAGGCAGACTGCATCGATAAACTTGCCCTGCGCTTCTTCCCCAGGGATTTTGCTAAAGACCTCTTTTG